TATATATATATATATATATATATATATATATATAGAGAGAGAGAGAGAGAGAGAGCCGACGCACATCAGCGAGTAGTGTGTGCGTGTGTGTGTGAGAGAGAGAGAAAACAATGTTCTTTCATCAACGCATGACATTTTTCTTCCCTTTTTAAAGGAGGTTTTTGAGAGGAAAAGCTCTCCACGGTGAAGACGCCGACGGGGTCGCGGGTGGCAGCTGGCAGGGGGAGGGGAGGAGAGGGGACACAATGCGAGCGGAAACACCCCTCCCCATCCCTCCTCTTCCAATCGACCTCGTAAGGATGCTGCCAGATAAGAGGTCCCCGAGAGCGCCATATCGTTGTTATTATTGTTGGTTCTGTAGGACATTGCAAAGCTATATACAACGTGTGTGTTGGTGTGTGTGCGTGCAAAGGAAGATGCTACTGTACATGAGCGCACGCGATATGGGTGCCGGAAAGGAAAAACAAAAGTTAACAGTAATAATACCCCGCAGGACTAAGACTTCAGAATCGCCTGCGAGTTCCTCTTTCGCCGTTCGCTGCGAGCACGTCGCCGCCGCTGGTGTAGACGCCACGCCAGCTGAATGCTCCTCGCACAAGCGTCATGGTAGTGTCCAAAGGTCACCGTGCGACTCCCAAAGGCGAACACAAAGGATTGCACCGTCACGATGGCGGCCAGCTGCGCCGGCGTGGCGTTGCAGGCCACCCACGCGGCGCTCTCTCTATCCACGTTCAACCCAAACCACTCCGGATACGTCGCACGCAGCTGCGCCATGACGTGTGTCGTCACCTTCGGTCCCCCGGCCAAGTACACGCGCTGTTCCTCGGCAGAGATGGAGGAGAGACCGGCTCGGAAGTGTCCTGCTGCCGTCTTCTGGTGCCGGCCGTCCACCAAGGCTAGGGTGCCGAGCGTGTCCGTCTGTGAAAGCAAATCCAGCGTGTGCGTGGCGCGGTAATGGAGCTCCTTACACTGTCGCTCACGCAGCCACCGGCGCCAGCGAAAGCCGCGCCCGACGCGCTGGACCAGCTTCGCCGCGTCCATCATCTGCCGCTCCCGCCGCTGCTGCTGCTGTTGACGGAGACGCTGCTGCTGCTCCAGCAGGAGCCGCTTTTGGTTCTCCTCGTCCTCGCGTTTTTGGCGGATGCGCTGCAGCGCACGCAAATTCACGCGCTCCAGCGGTGTTTTGTAGTCGCCCTGTTGCCGTGCAGCCGCCGCACGTTGCAGGTAGGCCTGATAAACGTCACCCGTACATTTCGCGGATAGCGCGCGTATCGCAGCGGTCTCGGGCGTCGTGTCCCAGTCACCGGTGGCCGCCAAGGCTCGAGCCGATGTAATGTCCGATGCATCCTCTGCGTTGTTGCTGCTGCTGCCGCTGCTGCTGTTGGTGGTTGCTGCTGCTGCGGCGGCACCTTCCGCTGGACTGTCGCCCTCTTCGTCTCTACGGTGCACGTCCGCGTTGCGGAGGGCGTCCCGCACGGCGGTAAGTGGGGCTCGTCGGGTGACCACGGCGGTCAGCACCTCCACCTCTCGCTGCAGCTGCGCCGTCTCCTCCGCACTGCAGCGACGGTACCATTGCTGAAGACGGAGTGCCGCGCTGTCGGCGTCCTGCTGTTCGCTTGCCGTAGACATAGAGTTGGGCGTATTTTCCATGCTCGCCACGGACTGCGACTGCTTCATGTCCGGTGATTCCACTTCTGGCGAGACCGTTTTGTTATTGCCGCTGTCGTTGCTGCCCGAGTCATCTACGCTTGTGGAGGAGACGCGTAAGTGTCGCGAGGGCCCTACCTCCGCTTGAGACACCACTAGAGGCACCTCGACCGCCGTCGCGGTCCCCTTCCGCGTTGACGGCACGTAGTGAGCGACGTGCAGCAGCGCAGAGGCAGGAGGGAGAGGACGAGGGCGAAAGGGCTGTGAGTGGTCGTTGTGACGGATGGAAGGCGGCGCTGCTGCCGCTGCTGCCGCTGCTGCTGCCCAAGGGTCCTTCGTATTCAGCGTGTAATGCTGGGCGTCGTTCTCGACTAGCGAGAAATCGCTGCTGGAGGTGACGACTACGGCGGTGGCGCCGTGCTGGCGGTTCGACATCTGCGCAGACCGCTCAAAGGAGGTCGAACGGCTCCCGCTCATGAGGGGACCGCCGAGCTGCGAGCCGCCCCGTCGTGCTCCCCCCGCCGCCGCCGTGGCAGCCGCCGCCGCCATGTGCACATCCCCAAAGCTGGCGTGACTGCGATCCTCGCTGCCCGCCATGGCGCTGACGGCGCGGTGGGGGCCCCGGTGAGACTGCCGTGCCGATGTGATGGAGCCGGTCAAGGCGGTGGACGGACCGTGCGACAGCTCGACAAAAACCGTAAAGGCGCTGCTGCCGGCGTTAGTCCGGCTCAGCGAGGACACCACCGGATTTTCAGCGGCCACGCGTCGCTCCGTCGCCGCCGCACACGCAGCCCGGCGCTGCCCCACGACGAGCCACGCCCAGTGCACGCGTAGCTGCCGCTGAATCCGCAGGGCCGCAGCATCGCGGCGTTGTTGATGGAGAAGATAGGCGTGCGTCCTGCGCTGACAAGCTTGCAACGCACGGCAGGCGAGCTGTTGCCGCCACCACCGTTGCAGCCGCACCGCCGCGGTGCAGAGCGGCAGACAACGACCCAACACGGACGGCACCACAGCGGTCCAATCTGGCGCGGCGCGCAGTACCTCACTGATGCGGTAGGCAGCGTGGAGATGGTGATACGCCGTCTGCGCCGCCAGGGCCCCATCGGGACCCGCCAGACAGATCTGCACGTGTGACAGCAGCGGTGCTTCGTCGGGTGACGGCGACACGACGCTCCGTGTGTCGGTTCCATTGTTGATGGTGAGGTCGTAGGGAGTAAGATAAGCGGTGCTTGAGGCGCCGTCGTGGCTGCCGCTCGTCGTTGCCGCTTGTACAGAGGCCGGCGGCATGAGTGACTTTCCGGTCAACGACAGCACGATCGGCGTCGTCGTCCTCGTTGTCGCTGCGCTCGGGACGGAGATTAAACTCATGTCAGGGGCCCGGTCAACCGCAGCGGCACCGCGTGAGGTTCCTGCATTGCCCGCCGGCGGCGGCACCGTGGGTGCGCCCACCGCAAATACTTCCGGGAAGTGAAGGGGAAACGGCGACTGTCCCGGTTTGCGCAGGATGCAGGACATCGACGACAGTGGTGCGGCTGCCGTTGCAGCGGCTGCTGCCCGCGGCTGGCTGGCTGAGGAGCCGTGTCCCGCCGGCTTCCACGCCGGCCGCACCAAATCCTCCTCTCGCACGCGCGCCGAGGCGTCGCGGATGGCGGCAGAGAGGACCTCCTGTGTGCGACGGTCGCGTGTTGCAGCCGCGCCGCAGCGAATGCCGTGTCGATGCAGCGGCGAGGGCTCCAGCGCCGCCGGTGACCACTGAAGCACAGGCGACGGGATCGAATAAACTTCCGTATTCGACCGCCGTGTACGGCCCGTCCACCACGGGTCGGCGGTGAAGCTAAGCGTTTCGCCCGGATGCACGACGGTGTCGAGGGAGGTGCTTGGAAGAGCCCGGGCAGAGGACCAATCGTGATTGTGCGTGAGGGCGGTTTGGCCTACCGTGGCGTCTCCCGCGACAACACGTAGCGTACGCTGCCACGTTGCGAGGACGTCTTCCGTCGCGCAGGGGTGAGGCACGGCCGCAAGACTGTTGATCTGTGTCTCCCTCCGTCGTCGCCGCTCGTCGATGATTGCGCTCACGGCCGGGTGATAGGTGTAGGACGCGTCCGCTGCGACTTTGCTGTCGCCTCTCCGTTGCCCATCTGTGCTGTCTGCTGCGCCCTTCACCAACTCCCCACCACAACGTGAGTAGACCCCGGTCCCCGCAAAGGCGCCGTCCTGCTCATCGCTGAGCAGCGGTGAGCTGGCGAGTTGCGAGCCGTCGTCGTGAACCGCACTGCTGCTTCGCTCCTCATCGTTGAAGTCCGCCTCTTCGTTCCCTTCCTTCTCCGCTGCGCTGTCGCAGCTGAAGAGCCGCCGCACACCGTCCACCGAGTGGACCAGTTTGCCCGGCGTTCCTTGCGCCGCGCCGCCACCTTCACTGTCCACTCCATCAGTACACGTCGCCACAGCGCACACCAGCGACGCAGACTCCTGCACGCTGTCCATCACAGGTTGTATGCGCTGCGGCGCGGCCGGCAGCATCTGCAGACTGTCGCCACGCGAGTTACGCGACAACCGCTGCCCCGCACTCATCAGCACGCTGCTGCTGCTTTGCCGGCCCGTGATGGGGAGTGACTGCCGCTCCGGCGGCGTCACTAACAGCTGTGACGAAGCAGCGGCAGCGGCAGCAGCGGCGGTGCTCGGTTCAAGGCGAAACGGTTCCATCGGCGGTCGCTGTGCGGCATCGCTGCTGCTCTGCGAAAATGTCCCGCTGCCCTCTTCGGGGTTGCCGGTACTCCGACGACTCGCCTGCGACGGCGTCGTGATCAACAGCGACGGCGACGGCGAGAGGGAGAGGGATTGGGTAAAGCCGGGCGAGGCGGCGAGGCCTGTGTCGCTGCGGCGGACACTGCCACGTGATAAAGGGGCAGCGGAGCCTGTGGAAGTGCTCACTGCCGCCCCTGCCCGTACCACCGGTGGAGGGATGGGCGGTGTGCGATGCGTGCGATGGCGCGACTGCCCTTGACGCCGTCCCCCACTGCCGCCGTCTTTGCCGGAGTGGTCGGAGCGCTGCTGTTGCGGCCACCGCCCACGCCGCTTACGCCACTCCGCGATGTTCTCCAGCGGCGGCAGGGACGACTGTGTCAGTAGCTGACGGTGCTGGCCGACCCACCGAGCCTCCATCACGCGTACGTCGCTCGCGGCGGCAAAGAGCTTTTGCTCGTAGGCGGCGCGGATATCAATGAGTTGCTGCTCCGCTGCGGGGCTTAAGGCGTACTGCGACGCCGGCCCATACGGCTGGATGGAGGCGGTCGTGCTCCCTCCAGCATCTCCGCCTGTCTGCCCGTCGGCGGAGGGAAGCGGAGCGGCCAACGTGGGGAAGGGGTTGGGCAAGCTGGGCATCGAGGACAGTGCTTGCGTCGAGGACGACGCCGTCGGCATCTGCGATACGGGCCTCCAGTCTCCGCCGCTGCTGGGCCGAGGAGAGGCGATGCTGAGCGTGGAGCCGGAGTCGGGTCGCAGCCCCGCCTTCACCTCCTCCTCTCGGTCTTCTCCCCGCGATGCTCGCACCGACGCGGCGGCCTGCCGTGCGCTGTAAGGCAGACGGGAAGTGGCCAGCGCATCGCAGCGCTGCAGGGCCTGTTCGCTGCGTGTGTGCTGTGCCTTACTGCTGGAGAAAACGTATTGCGTGGTCTGTCGGGCAGCTTCCACCGCTTTGGCGGCTTTCATTGCTTCTGGCGATGCGGTCAGTGCGGATGGTGACGACGCCAGAGGCTCGGAGGAAGAGGCACCGGCAGTTGTTGATGTGGCTGCGATTGATGTGGCGGTGGAGCTCGACTCCGCCACCGATACTAGCGTGCGAGACGCGGACGACGCACAGGCCGGGTTGGAGGTGAGACTTATCCCATGCGGCTCCACTGACCGTTTGCGGGTGTGGGCGGGGTGCGGCCACGTCGGCGACATCGCGCGAGCCGGGATGGCAATGATCTCCGGCGCGGTGCGGCGCCGCTGCTGTGAATAGGTGAGGAGTGTCGCGTCCTTCGTGCTGCCTGCCACGGGTCCCGTCCCCGTCCCAGGTCGAATGAGCGAAGGGGCGCCGGGGGCTGTCTTGTAGGCGGGTGTGCTGCTCCGTCGTCGCGTGGCGCGCAATATGGACGGGATGCGAGCCGTGCGGGGGGAGCTGAAGACTTCTCCCTCGTCTGTCACCTCTTCCTCGCCGTCTGCAGCAGCGGTGGGACTGACATCGGACGACGGAGCGAAAAACGGCGGCGGAGAGAGCGGCTTCTCCACCTTGAGCGACGCCATGGGGCTGCTGAAGCCGTGAGAGGAGCTGGGGGAGTTGGCGGAGGAGGACGACGATGAGGACGAGGAGGAGCTCCAAAGCCGCACGTCCCCCGGCACGGGTCGGAGGTGCAACGGAACTTCGTCCGCCGAGGCTTCAACACCGTAGACGGTCTCGACAGCGCGGATGCCGAAGTCGCTGTCGTCGTCTGCAGCAGCGGCGGCGGCGGCACCCCCGCGCTGTCCAGGTGCTTGATGAGGTGCGGCGGACGATCCAAAGACGGTGTGCTGCACCGACATTGGATTGTCATGTGCCACGCCAAAGAGGCGACCTGACGTGACAAGAGGGGGCAGCTCGATGCGGCCTTTTCCGCGGCTGAAGTGGACCCGATTGCCGAAGGAGACTCCCCGCTCCGGTGGCGTTGGGGGCGTGACGTCGGTGCTGGTTCCTCCGGCGTTCATCCAAAGCTGCTGTGGCGGTGCTGTGACCGGCACCGTGACGGTTCCTGCTGATGTGGCTCCGTTCAGCGTGGATGCCGTCTTGCTTGTGGAGGGCGGGAGGTGAAGCGGTGCGCTGTGGGCCGGTTGTGGCGGAGGTACGGCGGCCTGCCATGACGCTCGGGACGGTCGCGGTGGTACGGCTGGCAAAAGAGAGGCTCGTTTAGCGGCTGCTGGGGAGGACGTGGTGCTCGACGTCGCACGGAAGTTGGGCTGTGGTGCAACCTGCGGCGTCGGGCGTACCTTCACGCCTTCCTCTTTCGCTTCCACCGGCGCGGCATCTTTCTCCCGTAGGCCGAGTCGTTGCATGTAGTACTCCGTGTCGCGGCCACGCCGCAGCCGCATGGCGGCCTCGAGCTGCTTCTGCAGCTGCGCGGTGCGACTTTGCAGCGCCGCAAACACGCGCCGGTCCTCGTCGCTGTGGAGGTCCAGAAAGGGCTGCTGCTGCTGCTGATGCAGGTGTGGTGCATCGCTGCGATCCCCATCAGCGGCCTTGGCACCGTCCGCTGCGGCTACCGAAGTGTGCAACGGAATCGTCGTCGCCGTTTTGGACGTGCGCGGGTCGTCTCGCCGCCTCTCCTCTCCTGCCTCGGCCCCTTCCGTTGAGGCGCCGGCAAAGGAGAGAAGCGGGGGGTGGCTGCCGGCGCGGCCCACGACGCTCGCCTGCACGTTGGCGGCGTCGCCAAAAGCTGCCTGGCACAGATGCAGGCATCGCTGCAGCTCCTGAAAGCGTCCCTCGAGCAGCAGCATCTGTGCGACGTCGTGTGCCTTCTTCATGTAGTCGACGGTGGCGAACACGATGTCGTCCTGGTTGGCGTCATCGTCGCGGTGGAGGGCGAGCAGGTTGCCCAGCTGCGTTTTGAGGGAGTCGATCTCCATTCGGGTCGTACACACAGGTGTGATACACGAGCACAAAACAAAATGAAGACAGTGCGAGGGATATATACAAGGTCAAACACGCAGGCTGAAAACGGAATGTGTGTGCCTTTGTTGGGTACGTGTGCGTGTGCGAAACGTGCTGTCTCGCTGCTCGCGTGGGAGTAAATGCGCAGTAGAAGGCGATGAGGCGTTGCGCCTGCGTTCGGTGTGAAGGTAAAAAAAAAATAAACCGAAAAATAATTAAAAAGCGTCGACGAGAGGACAACGCGTGAGAGGAGGAAGAGGGAAGGGGGGGGGGGAGGGGGGAGAGAGGAGAGATAGCGGCTAGGCACACATACAAAGGAGTTTGTTGTACATCAAGTAAACGACTGCCACCAATGTGCGATGGGGAGGTTTTTGTTTGTTTTCGAAATGTATGAAAGACAAGAAAAAAGGCCAAGAGAGACAAAGAATTGTTAGATGTGGCTGAGAAGTGAATGGACGGCGCCAGTTCGTCATGGGTGCGCGTGCCCTGCTCGCTTTGCGAGACACGATCCGCGAGAGAGGGAACACCTCCTTCTGCGCTCAAGAGGAATGCGAGAGTGGCATGTAAAACGTGAGGACATAGAAGCTGCTTACCCCGCTCCACCGCAAGGAGGCCTATAAACATCTCCCCCCCTCCTCGCCAAAAAAAGCCCCGCACTCCCTCCTGCATTTTCACTATTCGGAACAAAAAGGAATCAAACTGAACTTTTATTTTTTAAAGTTGGAGGGAGATGAATTGACCGTCGTGACAGAGACCGTCACGGCTTTACAGAAGTAAGAGAAGTGGAACATAACGGGTGCGGCACACGCACCACCACCACCACAACGATAGAAGAGGCATTTGCCTACATACCTCTGACAAGGAACGTCTACGCCGCGACACCCGTTTCGCCACCATCAACCACATGAAACGTTCATATCCACTCCACCACAAACTTCCCCCGACTATCAAGAACATGCCTCTGCGTCAACGCCAACAGCTAAAAGAACAGAGAGGAAAAGGTACATTTAAGAAAATAAATAGAAAGACGCAATGAGCGGCGCGCGAGTTTTCTTCTTCTCGCATCAACAACAATCTCTATACATAATTCGTGTGTGTGTGTGTGTGTGCGCGTGTGCGCAGCCCTCACCACTTGCAACACGGAAGGCGGCCTCCCCTCACACACACACGAATGAACCTTCTATGAAAAGCCGCGTCTATGTGCCTCCGCGCATTACACTTCAGAAACCGAAACACACAGGACTCCCCCCCCCCACCCACCACCACCACCACGTGCAGTTGCGCGGCATCACCTCACACCTTCCATTTCCCTCCGCGCTTAGAAGATAAATCGCGGAAGCCGCGGCAGGAGACGACCGAGTTGGGCACCGGCAAACTCGGCGACACGCGTGCCAAGGAGGCTCATCTTCGCTGATCGGCGCCGCACAATCGGCTTCTTGTTCTTCGGCCCCCGCACACCCATCAGCCGCTTGCCGACCCCGCGCGTGGCACCGCCGGTTGAGACGGCGCCGCCAAAGGTTTCGCCTGCCTTCCGCCTGCTCTCTGGCGGCTTCTCGTGACGGCAGGCGTGCACCCGGTACGAGGAGGCGGAGGACCCTTTCACCAGCGCCTCCAGCATCAGAGGTGGCTGCCGCAGCGCCGGGATCTCCTCGCCGCCCGTGATGCTCGCCGAGCGCTGCTCCTTCTGGATGGAGTTGATGAGTACCCGCTCGTACTCCTGAAATGTCTTGTCAAACCTGTCCAGGTCGTTCAGCCACATCTTCACGGGCGTTGTCTGCTTCAGCACCGCGATCTGGTCCTGTGTCTTCTTAACATCCGCCTGCAGCTTCTCGGTGTTCGTCTTGGTAAAGAAGGTGATCGGCTTCCGCAGGATGTAGTCGTAGCTGTCGTCCACCCGCACCAGGCCAAGCTTCACGCACACCTTCGTCAGCGACTCCTCCGTGGCGGTGAGGAAGTCAATCTTGCCTTCGCGGAAGTACTCCACGAACTTGCGCGTCGACTGCAGCCGCGCGAGGTCCATCTCCATCAGCCCGATCTTACGGGTGCGGCGGCGCTTGTACACGTCGAGACGGCGGTCGTAGTGCCACTGCAGCACCGGGGAAAGATCCGTGTCGATCGGGCTTAACGTCCCGTCCGGCGAGAAGACCGTGCCGTTCACGTAAATGCGCTGACTGAGGGCGAGGTCGGCCTCACACTCCGCCCAGGTGGTCAGCGCCCCTTCGCGCACAATCAAGTCAATATCGATGTGATTGGCTCCCGAGTAGTCCGCAATACGCTGCACCACGTCGGCCGTGGCGAGGGACGAGATGTGCACGCGAAAGGCCTCGATGCTCGTCGTCCACGGGAGCTCCGACACGTGAAAGCGGCCGTTGCGGTGCGCCGTGTACTTCCCCACGGAAATGAACTCCCCATCCGCGCCGCGACGAATGGTGCCCTGAAAGCCAACGGCCCAGGGAACGAGGTTACGCACAACCTGCTTCGCCGACTCGCCGTTGATCATCGAGCGCACCGCGGCGGACACGTCGAGGGGGTGGAAGGACGGGATGTTCGTCGCAAAGCCGAAGCCGATACCCACCGCACCGTTGCAGAGCAGCAGCGGCAGAATTGGCACATAGTGGTTCGGCTCGACCGGCGTGCCTTCCTCGTCCATGAAGTCCAACAGCGGGTCGTCCTCCTCCGGGAAGAGAAGACGCGCAAAGCGGCTCAGTTTGGTAAAGATATAGCGTGGGGCGGCGTGATCGTTGCCGAGCTGCTGCCGCGAGCCGAACTGGCCCTCCGGCACGAGCAGGTTGATGTTGTTGGCGCCTGTGAAGTTCTGCGCCATCTTGACGATCGTCTCCTGCAGCGACACCTCGCCGTGGTGGAAGGCGGAGACCTCGGAAATGTAGCCGGACAGCTGCGCCACCTTCGCGGCCTCGGTGCTGCTCCGCTTCAGCATCGCCCATAGAATTTTACGCTGTGACGGCTTCAGCCCATCGACGCAGTGCGGGATGGCGCGCGCGTTGCCGACCAACGCAAAGTGCACCATCTCCTTGTGCACGAATTCGGGTATCGTCAGCGTCTTTTTGCTACGGTCGATGTCGATTTCGCCTTGGAAAGCGTTCGCCTTGGACATCCACTCCTTTCGCCACCCCACCTCGGCGGAGTCGAAGACGCTGTCGAGCAGTCGGTGGTCTTTCGCGTCCACCGTGAGCCGCATGACGTTGCGCTCCATGTCGGCGAAGTACTCCTTTCCCTCTGCGGTCGTCGACGTCCCGAGACCTTTGTAGTACTTCGCCGTATACTTCGCATTGGGGTTGGCGCGCTGCCAGCGGTGCAGGTCGCGGAAGCTGTGGAAGGCGATCACCTCCTTCGCCTTGCCGTTCAGCTTGATCTTCACAATCGGGGTGGAGAAGAGAGAGATGTAGCCGGGGTTGTGCTGCAGCAGGCTCGGCCACAGCGACTCAAAGGCGTTGATGACCAGACCTTTAATGTGCGAGCCATCCGCGTCCTGATCCGTCATAACGAGCAGCCGCTGATACCGCAGCTCATTCGGCGACTTGTAGGTCTTGCCAAGCTCCAGTCCAAGAGCTAAGAACAGGTCTTGGAGCTCCTTACACGTCTTCAGACGCTTGAGGTTCTTATTACGCACGTTCAGCAGCTTGCCGCGCAGCGGGAAGACGCCGCAGAACTTCTTCTGCTCGCTCGACAACGAATTCAGCGCGAGCGCCTTCGCCGAGTCGCCTTCGGTCACGATTAGCGTGCGGGTATTCTTGCCGTCCGGCCGCGTCGACGTCGCATCCACCAACTTCGTAATGGAGGAGATGAGCGACTTGCTGCTCAGGCGCTTGCCGGCGCCGATTTCCTTGTTGAGCTCGGAGGCCAGTTGATCATCAAGCGAGTTCACGTGTGACTCGAGAAATGGCATCGCCTCCAGGTACTTGTCCAGGGCGCTGCGCGGCACCCGCGGCATCGTCACCGTCGACACAAGTCGCGCCTTGCTCTGCGAGTCGAACTTCGGCTGCGACTGAATCAGAAACACGAGGACGGTGAAGTGGCGTGCTACGCGGTTCGTGTCCACCACCTTGCCCTCCTTCTTGAGCGTTCTACTGAGCGTTTCGAGGCTGGACTCGAGTATCTCCATCGCCGCGTTGCAGTGCGTGCCGCCGTTGTAGGTGACCACACCGTTCACCACCCCCACGATGCGCTTGGGGCTCTGCACGAGCTGCGGCACAAAGGCGACGCTCCCGTTGGGGCCGCTATGGACAAACGGTTCCGGCGGCATCGCCTTGTCGGGCCCGGGGAGGGAGTAAAGCCGGGCGTAGTCGTTGAAGGACTGGAAACCGAACGGGACGTTGTTCAGCCGCACCTCGAGCTTGGGGAACATCGCGGCGAGGTCCATGATGCGCTTGTGCAGGACGCGCTTCATGTCCAGCGAGATGGTGGAGTTGGGGAAGCCGAAGTGGGCGTAGTCGGGCAGGAACTTGACCCGCGTCATGTTCCTCTCCTTCGGGTCCACGTTCGACACACGCGGCGTGGTGGCCATGCGCATGTGGTCCGTCCAGCTCATGTGGAACTCCCTCCCTGCCGTGCGGCACACGACGGAGAACTTGGTGGATAAGATGTTCGTCAACTTCGCACCGTAGCCGTGCCGCCCCGCCGTCGTCGAGGACGCGTCGTTGTTGTAGTTGGAGCTGGTGAGGAGGTGGCCGAACACCATCTCGGGGATGTACATTTTGTGCTCCTTGCTGCGCACGATCGGCAGCCCGGCCCCGTCGTTCTCGACGGTGATTTCGCCGCTGTCGGAGATGCTGATGCTGATGTACGTCATGCGAGTCCCGCGGGTGCCGTTGTTGATGTTATCCGATGCGTTCAGCAAGATCTCGTCCACAATTTTAAGCAGACCTTGGTTCACCTGCATTGTCTGCCACACCATCTTGCCCATGGCGGGGTCGAAGACGAACATCGGCGTGGGCTGGGTCTCGATGCTGCCCACGTACATCTCCGGCCGAAGCAGGACATGATCGATCGGGGTGAGCTTCTTGTACTTGGAAGCGTCCGTCATCTTGCTGAAATATGGGTTTTACGAATAGGAATATCGGTTTTTACCCTTTATATGGAGGGATGAGAGACCGCTGATACAAAAGACGGTAGGTGAGAAACGAAAAAAAGAGAATGAATTACCACGGCACGTGTGTGTGCGTGTGTGTGTGTGTGATCAGCGGGAGGAGCTGCTCTTCTATGAGTTCGTACTCTTTCCTTTAATTAAAAGCTGGAGTTCTCTGAATGTCTTCTACTTTGGCTGTGTGCAATTACTTTGTATTGTATTTTATGCTGTGTACTTCTATGAGCAGGGTGACAAACGTGGAACCTGCTTTAGCGCTTTGGCGTGTTGTGGTAGAACTGCTGCTGCCGGTGCAGCGCTGGTGATGCGCATACAACACTTGTCTATGCTACGCGGTACTTATATATATGTGTGTGTACTCTGTTAAGCCGTGCCTTGTTGCTGTCCACGAAGCTTCCGATCGCGCTCCACGATGAGGCGGAGCCTTCGAGAACAGTCGTATGAAATAAACAGGGAGAAAAGAAAGAGAAACGGAAAGAGAAACAAGTTAAAACGCCTTCACCCTCTCTCGAGCTAAAGCAGCACGGGAAAGACAACAACGCCCCCGTTCCTTTCCTTTCCTTTCCTTTCTCGTCTTATTTTTTTTTTTGCTGTGACGACGCGTAGTCGGGGCGAATCCGATTTCATCTACCGGTGTGTGCGCGTGCGTGCAGACGCAGAAAGATGAGACAAATGCGGTGGAGAAATGAAAAAAGAATCGAGACAAGTAAACTTGATCAGATGGGCGAAGAGCATTTGCTTTCATTGAAAGGGTTCCGATGCGGCAGCATGAGCAGCTCACGCATGTCTCCCACCGGATTTCTATCCATAAGCTTGACAGCGGCGTCTCCCTCAGCAAAAAAAAAAAGTAAGAGCCTTGCTGGATGTTAACGCGCTTCTTGCCGAACGTGAACCGGCCCTTACCGGCTCGCGGGCCAAAGCCTTCGGTGGCTGCAAAGAGCATATCCGCAAGAGCCGTGACAGCACGTCGCGACTGCTTCATGTAATTCTTTTAAATCTGTTTTTGTTGCTGTTGAAGGAAAAGGCGACGTTTTGAGGCTCAAAGCACGTAAATGTTGGTAGGCGGTATAAAAATATATATGTATGGTATAGCAGACATGCGCGTGTGGAGTTGGAAAAGGCAGAGCGTAGCCGTCCGTGACTGTATCGGTGCGTATGCGTGTGTGTGCTGAGTCGGTGCTTCTTGCTCCCTTTCTTCTTTCTGAGGGGAAAGTAGTCCACACTCTGCAGAAGCCGCGGAGACACAAACAGCAGTAGTAGTAATAATAATAGTAGTATAAATAAATGGGAGGCGGAGCAACGCTGGCTGCAGCACGGGACAATGCCAAGAGATGAGACATCAACAACAACAAAGAAAACAAATACAAAAAAAATAAAAAAAGCGTGAAGAGGAAGAAGTGGGATCATCATCAGCAACAACGAAAAGCCGGAGTACGACAGCGATAAGAAGAGGAGCCCCCCGAAGGGACCTTGGCGCTCATCATAACCGCCATAACAGCCAACAAATAGGGCAAAAAAAAACTCACATCAACACCATCACCATCAACAACAACAAAGAAGACGACGTTATGGGAGAATACCACACCAGTAAAATGGAGGGAGAAAGAGAGTACTGTCGAAATAAAGCCAAACCCAGATGGTGAAGAGCCGACGCCGCAGCCAAACGGACAGAAGAAGAAAAACAGAGCCAAAAGGCAGCAGCGACCGGTGACACAACCAGCAAATAAAACAATACTAATAAATCAGCAAAAGAAAAAAAACAGTACAAAACACATTCCAAATAGTGCGTCATCTTCAAGCCATAAATATTAAAAAAAAAACGTGGCGAGCTAAACAAACACCGGCACCACCACCAACAAAAACAGAGAAGCTGGGGAGGAGAGGGAGTAAAACAAGGCGATCGAGATGTGGTCATCTGTGAAGCTGCTGGAGACGACGGCGCCTCGTCTCCGCTGCTTCCCCTCCCTCCCCCCCCCCCTTACCCTCGGGACGCGCAATCAGGCAACAGCGACTAGCAGAGTGGAAGAGAAAAATAATAATAATAATACCGACAACGCCATCGACAAAAGCAGCACCACAAAGGAGCACAACACTCCACGGCAACACAAATAATAATAAAATGCTTATGAAGAAAGAAAGAGTTAAAGAGGAAATAACATATAAAAAAGTTCTACACGTAAACGAGGGAGACAAACAAACCTCACAGTCCAAGAGTCTTCTGAAATGACAAAAGGAAGTATATCAAGCAATATATATATATATATATATACGTGTATCCATTGCGCCCGACCTCACTTGTTGGAAATCTTCAGCTGCGGGTTGTACTGCGCGACGTAGCGCGACCCTGGCTTCTCGCGCGGCTTGGCGTGGTTCATCATCAGGCTCGGCACATACGATGAGGAGTTTTTGGTGTGCATCCAGTACAGGTGCACGTGCTCATCCCAGTCGTCGAAGTGGTAGGTTTGCCCTGCCACCATCATCACACCGTAGCCGTGCGCGTTGTGCAGCGCGTCCTTCGGGAGGTGCGTCGTCTGCAGCAGGATCGCCTGCGCGTCGCGCACGGTGGTTTGCGTGTCGATGGTGATGAGGAAGGGCTGGCCAAAGGCACATCGCTCGTGCTGCTGCCGCTGCGCCACGGACGCGCTGCGGTCTGCCGTGTCGTAGTTCATGTGACAGCACGCCACCCGTCGCTCCGTTGCCTGCAACGGGACCGCCGCCTGGACTTCGACTTCAAAGCACCGCAGCAAAGACGGCTCGAGGATAGGCGCCGCCTCTTCGTCGTCGTTTGGGGTGTTGCCCATCGGCACCTCGTAGAAGGACACAATCTGATGCTGCGACACGTCCACGAAACAGAGGACGTAGTGCGTGGCATTGAGGGTGTCCTGCACGGTGCCCCACGGGTCCGCTTCCCGCTGCCACACAGGCACAGACTGCCGTACCTGCCGCACCAAGGCCTGCGGTGTCGCTGCGGCGATCTTCACGGTAAAGTTTTCGCGGTGTAGGGCGTGCCCGACGTGATCGCGCAGCGTGACGGTAAGCATGACCATACTCTGCTGCTGCTCCCGCGGGATGGGCAGGCGCTCGTAATACAGCACCGTCGTGGGGTTGTAGGCCTCCAAGTAGAGCAGGTCAGACACCGTGGTGGCGTTGCTGGAGAGCACCGGCTGCGAGTCCGGTGCGGGCTCGCCGGTGCTGCAGTTTTGGTATAGCTGGATGTGACTTGGGTCGTAGTCAATGGTGCGACCGATGGCCGCGCAGACAGCCTCGTAGCCCCAGCTCGAGAGAAGACGGCAGTAGTTCTCAATTCCAAGCGGCTCGACCACCGCCTCGTGCAGGATGGGCAACTGGACCGCCTCGTAGGGGTTCAGGGAAGCAGCGATGCGGGTCGGGTCGGCTTCCACGGCAGCCGTCACCGCGGCCACGGCAGAAGTCGGCGTCGCGCTGTTCGCTGCGCTGCTGCGGCTGCCCTCGGTTATGGCAGCGGCGTCGGTGTTGCTGTGCACCGCGTCCACCGACTCCGTCATGCCATTGGCGGTGGTGCTGCGCTCTGCGGTCGATGGAATGGACGCGGTGCTGTTCATGGCGGACGGACCTTTTCCCGGCGTCTCCGCCGGCCCCTCTGCTGCGGTGGAAGTGGTCGTGGCGCTGCCGCCCTCCGTGGCCGACGCACGCGACGTCAACACGCTTCGCTTCGCCGCAGCCACCGCCGTCCGCTGCTGCGTCTCTGCTGCCTGCCGGTACGCCTCGTCGTTCGTCAGGTGCGACCGGCGCACCTCCATCACGTGCGCATCGAGGCTGTTGCGTGTGTCGCGGTAGAAATTGCGGACACACAAGGTGCGGTACGGGGCCGGAATGGCGCGCAACTGAGCCACCACGACGGTGCCAGATTTGAAGTCGGCGAGGTCGTACTGCTCGTTGATCTCGACCGGCGTGTGATCACCGCGCTCGACGAAGTAGCGAAACATCGACGGAGCGGGCGCCTGCTTGGTTGCCGTTGCGGGGCCTGCGTTGGCTGTGTTCGAGGTAGAGGAGCCCGTCTCGCTCACGGTGGTAGAGAGCGACGACGACGTGCCGTCTGATAGGCCGAGCGCGCTGCGGTAGACCGCGGCGAGGCAGTAGAGTTTGGCCGCCCGGTCAATGAGACGGCTGCCGATGTACTGGATCGTGTTGGTGGCGTAGTCGTAGTACTTGAAGAAGATCAACGCGCGGTCGTAGCCGATGGAAGGCAGCACGGGCAGCGGTGAGGCGGTCACGGGGCTCGGCGGCGGCTGCAACAGCGGGTGGCCGAAAGGCAGCTCCAGATGCACATCCCGCACGGGTACATGCCGCAGGTTCACGATGTACGCCTTGATGGTCACCGAGACCGTCTTGCGTGCCTCATTTAGCGGCAGCGCCACCGTGTTGTCGCCGGCAGTCACGCTAACCATCGCCACCGGCAGCGTTTCCTTGGTGTTCGTCGTCACGTACTCCACCGTGGCGGCGTAGTCGGAGTTGTCCAGCGTGACGTGTAAGGCCTTCGCCTCGACCGGCTTCGACAGCGTCACGGTGTAGCACCGAGTCACCGGATCGGGGTGGACGCTCTCGATGAGGCTCGCCTCCTTCGTCAGACCGCGCAGCCCGGGCAGCGGCGGCTTCGCTTGATCAATGTAGACGCAAATGGTCAGCGCTGCGTTGTTCTCCTCCGACGTGAGGTAGTCGCAGAGGCATGCGGCTTGTCGGGTGCTGTCGGCAGCACGAGCGACGGCCTCCGCATAGGTGGGCAGCGCAATGGTCGGCCGCAGCGCCGCCGCGTCCGTGCAGCGCCACAGGCGGAAGTTGTCCGCCGTCACGCCGCGCCGTGCCAGGGCGGGCTGCGCAGCGAGGGCCTCGTACACCTCCGCCACGGTGTTCGACTTACTCACCGTCACGACGCACTCCGCGCTGCGGCGCCACTGATGCGCGTCCCGCGTGTACAGCTCGGTGCTGCAGATCGAGTCGCAGTACGCACTCAGCGTGGCATCGGTCAAGCAGCACAGATTTGCTGACATGCGCGCCTCCTCGGCCTCGCGCAGCTGCCGCTCTTCGTCTTGAATGGCACGCCGCAGTGCCTCCTTCACGCGATCGGACACGATGTCGGTCGGCGAGGGGGCTAAGATGGTCGGCGCGTCGGACCGCCGCACGTAGGACAGGATGTATGCATTGGCGCCCCCCATCATCGCGGCTTCGTGACGAAAGGAGTCGACCGGCGCGCCGCGACCGTAATTCGCCCGCACCGCGACGTCCTCTGGCACCTCCCGCACGCTCTCGTCATCGTACTCGAGCCAGCGCGTGTAGCGCTGCTCCGCCGAGTCCCACTCGTGGATGTAGCAGTAGTAGTGCCCGCTGCGCACCGTGCCGCGGTGGACAATGACGCCCTGCAGGTCGTAGATGGCAGGGGAGTCGGCAGGGAACGGCACCACCGCCGAGCCCGCCTTTGCCTTGGGGGTTTCCTGCTCCTTGTCGGCCGCCTCGGGCTTCTCGAGCCCGCGCAGGTCCAATTCTACCGGAAACTCCAGCGGCGCGTTCACCTTGCGCATCTCCAGCGTGGGCGAGGTGAGGTCCATCGCAAAGCGCTTTAGATGGAACCACGTCACTGCCGGGAAGCGGGTGTAGCTGTAGCCCTTCTCAGCGTCCATGTACACCGCGGGCTTCCCCTCGCGCTCCACGCGGTACCTGTTGTCGCCCACGAGCTGGTCGCGCGCCGTGAGCGAAGCCAAGCTGTCGTAGAGGGTGTGGTGCTGCCCGAGGGGGATGTGAATGTCGTAGTAGGTGTCCGCGCGGCGCGACACGTACGACTTGTCCAGTGTCTCCACGAACTGCTCTCCACGACCCTCGAAGAGCTGGTTGATCGCGCCTTCCGTCACGGTGCCCTTCATGCGCTCCTCCAAGTTGTCGCGCAGCAGCGTCGCCATCTCCTGAATGTCGTGCTGCACGTACAGTTCCCGCTTCCCCCAGCCGAAGGCGTTCGTCAGCGTCGTGGTACGCGCGGGAGTCGTGCGCTCCTGCATTTGGAAGAAGATCTCCTGCAGCGCCTTGTAGACGCTGGGCTCGTCATCGCCCTCGACAGGAATTTGATACACCGCCGTGCGGAAGTAACTCGTGTGGAAGAGTAGCTGCAGGAGGGAGTTCAGGTAACACGTGCAGCCCTCGTTGATGAGCCCGACAGCGGCAGGACGCTTGGCCACGACGGCGGCCTCCTCCTGCTCGTTCTCGTTCGGCGACGAGGGGCCACCAGCCGACGTTCCTGAAACGCCGTCCGCTTTGCTTTGATTGCCGAAGAGGTCGTGGCTGTTGCTCGGGCTTCGGCTGCTGTCGTCGCTAGAGGTGACGGCGAGGCGGTCGGTGCTGTGCTCGCCGCCGTCGTCGGCCGCGTCGGAGCTGATGGCGGAGCCAACGGACTCGTCACGAGCGACTTTCATGTAGGGGTCTAAGCTGTCCGAGTCGGGGGACTGTGTGCCGCCGAACGAACCGTTGCGCTGCTCCATCGTCGACTCTGTCCCTTTCCTCGTTGTGTTACCACGCGTGTGTCTGTGTCTGTATGTATGTGCGTTGAGTGCGATATATATAGATCTCAGTATGTGAGTATGATTTGAGAAGGGAGTGTGGCCAGACCGAGGCCGGGTTGAAGGAACTCACAAAATCAAAGAAAAAAATCCTCCAGAAGGGAGCGAGACGCGACACGGAAGGTTCCTCTTGAACGGAGGAGGTAAAGAAGAAAGAGCGAAGACAAAAAGAATTTGAGGAGAGAGATACCACGGAAAAACACACACCAAAAAACACAACTACAGCGGTAATCCGAAGACAGCACCGTCGCGGTGCGACGATAAGCCGAGTAATATCACGAAAAGGTCCACAAATAACAAATAAAATGAGTTCGCGCGCTTTTATTTTTTCCTCTGTTGACTCCGCCAAAACGTGGCGGATCGTCTTCTTCCCCTGCGCGTACGTGCGTCACCAACCGCCAGAAAGAGGGAGTGAGGGAGACTAACGAAAAGAGCAGAGGAACGAAGAAAAAAAGAGAGGCGCTTGTTTCTGAACGGGAGAGGCAAACAACAATAAAAGTATGAGGCTTCCCCGTTCTGTTGTCTGGCGCACGAGTCTGTCTTCTTCTCTATTAGCTGAGCAGATGGCCACGACAACTCGGCCCAATGACGCGTCGCGCAGTGTCACGAGCTCTTCGTTGCAGAAGAGAGAACGAAATCAAGATGAAAAGATTATTACGCGGTAGATTTGAGAAGCATCGCAACCTTTGCCCCCAAAATAATAGTAACAATAATTCATTTCCCAACATGTGCGGTAGTTCCCGTTTCCGTAGAGAGGGCGAGAGGGCGAGAGAGGGGAGGGGGGAGAGTAAATTGAGGAGGGAGAAAGCAAGATGAGTGCGATGCACAAGGCACACGCGTTCGCTGCCATGAGCCACCGAGGGTCGAAGAGCGATGCGCGCTTTGCTGTGGTTACGTAATGAAAGTCTCTCGTTGCTATGAAAGGCAAAGCAGGCGGGGAGGAAGCAAGGAACCGGTGCCTGGTTTTGCTCTTCCTCATCCAGTCTTGATGAACTTCGACGAGTAGAAGAAGAAAAACAAACAAAAATAGAAGACGTTGGTATGGTGGTGGACGCTCGACGTCATGCCGTGCCGATAGCGACAGGAACGATCCGGTATATTTATGTATCAGTCGATACAAGTGAGAAGCGTTGGGTCGGCGCGAGAAGAACACCCAACTCCTCCTTTGAGGCTTCCCCGAAGAAAGTGAATCGAATCACACTACTAGGCAAAAAGGTATATCAATATATATATATATAGCCGAGTCCTCTCCCGTTTTACAGCTGAAACGCCAACAACAACCCCCTCCAAAACAAACACAAAAGACGCGATGGGAGCAACTGTGATGTGTGCCATCTGGCCTTTAAAAAC